TTTCTGTCGATAGTACCCAGCATCCCGTGGCCTACTACTACTACACCCACATATGGCCATCGTTATCCTTCACCACCAAAGCCTGCTTTCCCTCCGCCCAATTCTTCCTACATCACACCACCCACATCGCCAGACACGCCGTCACCAAGTTATTCAACATCGATGTCTCCAGCATCAACGGCATCTCCTCCAACGCCCCCAGGTGTAGAGGTGCCGCATAGTAAATTGAATCTCTCGTGCTTGTTCCTGCTTGACGTCTATATTTCGCTACTTACTAGTACTTGCATGCTCTTTCCCTCGCTTAATTTACAAAATGCCAGTGTTTTTGTGGTTATTTTTATATTAAAAGTGTGAAATAAGTGAAATAAGCATACAATAAGTGAAATAAGAATCACCAATTTGCGCTACGCAACGGAAAAATAAGTGCTACTGTTAAAAATAATTGCCCAAAAAGCCAGAAAAGACTGGAAAAAGTCACAGTCAAGAGGAAGGACCTGCTTTTTCGACTTAAAATTGCCTTGTGGCAAGTTTACAGCAAGTGGGTGTCACCATTCTTGCGAGGGACTTATCCGCTCCTTTTTGGGAAATTTGCCGGCGGCAAGTCACAAAAAAGGAAGTTAAGCAATGTGTGAATTTACTGATGCAGCTTTGCATAACTTACATTAAATCCAATTAACTCGTCCAATGCTACTCATGCACGTATGAGATGGTGCCACAGACCAACAGCAAAAATGTGCAACAACACAGCATGACGTGCAGGATGCAATAACCGCCGAGCCGCCTGCTGTTATTAAGGCATCGAGTGCCAGTATGTCATAGCTCATAGACAGCATCATCACCCTCTACTTGAAAGCTTCAAACTTCGTACTTTTAAATGTGTATTTTCAGTAGGAAGACTCGGACTGAAGAGAAACAGACCTTGCCACGTCTTGTTCTAAGACATGGTCAAAAACGGGTCATGGTTGAACGGCAAAGGTCGTATAATGTGAGTGCAACAACTATTTAAATCTTTAATGGCTCATAATAGATATCATAAGCTCATGCTTGACTCCGTCTGCAAACATTTCCCAAGCATCCCGAGAGATGTGGTCATGTTACAGACCAATCAAGTCGACGCTTGCGATGGCCACTATGTGGACATCACGGCTGAAACATGGAACGATGTCGTTGACTTTCTTAACGTCGTTGAGGTGACTCGGCGTGCGGAAATGCCATTGCCCGTCCCACTGCCGCTTGATGCTGGAGCTATTTCATTGCCTGAAAATCAATCGGCGCCAAGTCAGGTCAACGAAAAGGACAGCTCGTACGCACCCCAAAGTGTTTTCAGTACTGAAGTTGAGACCACATAGCAGGAACGATGACAAGGTCACAGTCAAAGTTGTTCTTCCATCTGGCGAGATTCAGACTACTAAAATCTCGAGGGAAATGCGAGTGGACAAACTTGTTGCTGATGCTAGGCAGATGTTGGGACATCGTCTCACTCATGTCACGGCAGTTTTGGGTGGAGTAATAATGCTAGCGGAACGGAGTATTAGATCGTACAACATCAAGGATGGTGACATCATCAATCTTGAAGTTCATGAGATTTCACGCACTAAAAAGCCTGTCATCTATCTGTACTCGCCCTCCGATATTGATGTTTCCGTCAAGCTCTCCCTCATTCCTGAGTGGAGCCTCTCTGCTATCTATCCCGTTGTTACCACAGAAGACCATGGACAGCGTTTAGAATGGAATGTCCGCACTCATCAAGATGGGAGTTTGACTGAACATAATTCTGGTTTAGATGTGTCGTACTTGTTCTGGGAGGCAGAGTAAGTCCCTGATGATACAAAATCACTCTCCCAACACTTGTATTACTCTTCGCAGGACAAATGTGCAAGCATTTCCCCGGTCACCAGCATCCAAACCGCAACCAGTGGATACATTCAATCCAATATCCAGTAGTCTGCATGATTTGGATTCAATCGTCATTCCAGTGGACAAAGCAACAGTCTACCTCGATAAATCACTCAAGGTTTTGGGACTTCACACCGAAGCTAGAACATCGTTCATAACGTGCGTACATATGCGCTACCTCAGGCTGTTCAAATCATAAACATGTTACTAAAATTGCCATGGTAGCTACTGGCTGCCATCTTTTCTTAAACACGAATACATTGCCCTCCGATTTGTCCCTCAAGCAGCGTACGAACGCGCTGCTTCTTTATCCATTTCTCCGCAGCCTGATGTCGTGACTCGCATATCCATGCTGTTCAAAGGGATCCGTAAGGAGCACTTAGAAAATTGGGCTAATGCACAAATGCAGGCAGAGAAAGACGTTGCTTGGTGGGCGGATGTAGTTGGAGTTGATCCTGCGAGAGCTAGTGATGCGACTTTGTTCAGGGTGTTGGAATGGGGTGGGACGGAGGTTTTCATTTGATATTCTATTGTATTACTCAATTTGTGTAGGTGTTATCGGGTTTTGTCTTGATCAGTTCTGGATCCGACAGCTGTGAGAGCGTGAGCTCGACGTGTCCGCGAAATAGATGCATATGGGTGTGGCAACTGGCAAGTTTTGAAAATCAGATTCTATTCGCTTGACTTGTAGTGGGAATAGATTTCGAGTTCTGCAGGTCTCTTCATTGTAACCGTGTATTACAATGTGCGGAAAGCCTCGAAATATAAGCTCCTACTAAACCTACACATAAAAATGACTACAGTAGTACGGGTTATAGCAACAAATCGAAATTACACACTGTTGACCCAAAGACAATCAATACACCAACCATAAATAACGACTGTCCCTCCCGCCCCGCCCCTTCTCGTAAAATATCAACATACTCAAACAAAAACTACACCTGTTCCAGCGTCTCAATGGCCTTGACGCTTCGCCGTCTCCGCACAAGAGTGATCGTGCGCTCAACGAGTTGTAAAGTATCCTCCTGATGTGACCCTCCAAGCCATCAGCGCCTTCTGCTGAGTTCGATGATAGGTCAACGTTGATCCACTTGCACAAGTCGATTTTTAGTACCTAGCAGCATGCGACGAGGCCTGCGCTAGTACACAAACCTCACGACAATGTACAGGGATACTTGCACCACGCATGGTGTAACCGTCGACGAGTCATGTCAGGGACTCGTCTAATGACTGGAGCGATAGTGAAGTAAGGCCCTCAGGCAGTAGTATCCTGAAATCATAATGAAAGTGAGCAGCTGAATGACTCAACACATGGAGTACTTACAGAAGGATGACCATTCCTGTCTGGTGCGCAGAGCTCACGTAGTCTGACCAGCGTGTCCTAAGAAATTCGAACTCTTCGTCATCCAGACAACTACAACTATACACAGGACATGTCAACATGTCAACTAACCAGACAATACAGCATGCTCCAACTCGACCTATACGCGGTAGATCAGTGTCGAGATCTCGATAAACGGCGCTCCGCCCTCTGATCGGACCTGTGAGGCGCACTAGTGACCGTTTTGACACTAGTCAGCGAATACACTCGTGCCTTGAGTAAAACGTACCCTTCTTTCCTGGACACGAGGACAGCATCAAGCTACCCAACTTGAATCAGCTTGCTGCCATGAATATTTGATGTTGGACGGAACAATGCGCTGTATGATTACAGCTTGGTGGCATTCTGCGATGCAATCGAAAATGCCAGTCTACACCATCAGGCTTACACACAAAGAACAGTGACGACATGGATTCCCGTTCACTGGAATTAACAAAAATCGAGCATGGAAGGAAAGACAGCCTTCAGCAGAGTAGGGGTCCCTCTTCGTGCATCGGATGAAGACCGGTTGCTCGCCAAATCATCGGATAACACACGGACTTTCGTACTATGTTTAAGAGTAGGAGGATGAGAAAGCTTTGCTATGAATGGAAGCGAAGGACGAGGTTTGGTAGTGAGCGTTGTTAAGCGTGTGTCAATGGCAGGCTGAAGAGTCTCAATTAGTGTGGATTGCGGTGTGATGCGATAGAGGGTGTCAAAGCCAGGTAATATATGGAAGATGACAGGTGCACCGGTGAGACCTGTGAGGGCTCGTGGCTACTACGGGGTCGTATAGACCGGATATGCGGGATACATAGTGACAGTGGACAGCCTAGGGAAAAGTAAGTACAGGTGTACCTGTGATGCGGCATCATGATTAAATCTGGTAGAGGATCTAGCAGTACACAATTATATCATTCTATATTTCGCACGGTTGCCAAATGTCATGATTGGCATACCAATATTCAGTTATACCTCATTTCTCTCCATTGATTGACCATTCAACTTCATAGAATAAACTAGACAATGAAGCAGGGTAAACTACATTGATGATAGAGGAAATTTTCCGTTAAGTGGTATGAGTGGCATGCGTAACCGATAAGTGACTGCCAGCAGTGGCGACATGACTAATAGGGCCCCTAGGGACTAGTACAGGCGTACTTGTACTTAAGCCATCGATTCATTGATCATATCTAATTGATTGGCAATGTCGGATGATCGGATCACTTCTAGGTACGATTCCGTTAACGTTTTGACAGGAAGTGACAAAAGTAAATCTCATCCAGTGACAGCAAGTAAAAGAATTGCCTCAATCACGATCGAAGATTCAAGAGGCGGTCCCTCATACTCCTTCATATCGTTACTGCCACTACCTTACCCGAATGTTTAAATGCCCTGTGATTAGAAGGCAAGTCAGAGCACTCGAATCGCCCAGTTGTTCGCTTACACACTCTTAACCCTCTGGTGCGTTGGGCACCTGTCTCCAGAGAACAACTGAACCATTGCTGACCTTTAGTACAACATCTGTCTTCCTTACTAGCTCCTCCCCCTGACGACTCAATATCATATCCATGTCTCTCGATATCATTCCCATCACGGTAGATCCAGAGACCTTGTTTCGAATGGAACAAGGTGCTCAATCACTTGTCGTGTATGAATGTGAATTACAGGAGGCACCCTGCGGAATGTGTCTGGAGGGAACGGCCAGTGCAGTGTCTGCCCACCTACGTAGACACGGTATCACTGGTCCGGACAGTGCCGCCATAACTTGCACCTGGAACGGCTGCTACAAGACGCTCAAGAAAGGAAGCATGGCAAGGCACATCCTTACTCACCTCGGTGTCAAGGTGCGCTGCTCCACATGCGGAGTTGTGAAATGCCGTCATGACCTCCTTCGTGCACACATCAATTCCTCGGAGCCGTGTCATTTCGCAATAGCCGATAATGTTCCAGGACCTGGAGGATATGTCATTGTCCCCACGAGTTGGGCCGCTGCCCATATGCATCAAGTCTGATCCTTATGATGGCTGGTGTGCAATTTGATCTCTTTTGTGACCAGTACTGTTTACACTGGTTGGATTTTTCTTTCAACAGGAGAGTCTAGCGATATTTCACTAGAAAGTCGGCTCGAAAGAAAAGCGGACTTGCACGGTGTGAGAGATTGTGGGGGCTCTGTACGCTACATGGTGACATTCCTAGACGGTGGACTGATTAGTTGTAGTTATATGTTTGATAGTAGTGAGATTTTGTGCGAGCGCCTATGCAAGACCCCGAGGAGCCCATCTTCGTTAGTTCCAACAGTTATTCTTTCGCTGATGGGCCTTCTCTAGTTTATCGCATTTTACTAAATCATTTCACTACGAGTGCGTGAGATCTTCAGGCCTCAGCACAAGCGCCGTTGAGTGCACATGTTCATGCCAATTTTTCCTGATAGAGCAATATTGACCCTGCTCAATAACACTTTGTTTATTTTTTGAGCGCGCAGCGTACAGGATGTTCTGCGATAAACTGTCAAGTAAGGTTTGTGCTGTTCCTGTCACGAAGAGTAAAATACCCGACTTCCCGAGAGACTGCCGCGAAGGAAAACTCATGGAGCGTGATAACTCAGTGCATCGACAACGTCAGCGCCAACGGAGCAACAAGAGAGAATCCACAACGAACCTCTTGGCGAGTGAGAGCTCCTGCTGTCCATCTTCGTTCCAGTATAATCACTCATGTTTTTGCTTGTAATCTTTGCACGTCGGCGGTTCGGTACACAATCACACTCATGACACCGACAATCTACAGTACTTATATAATCACGAGATACCGCCGGCTTCGAGTGCTAGATCGCCCAATACGTCATGCTGTGTTGCTGTGCGTTCAATGGTTCTGCCTCTTCTTTACGGTTCTTTCCTCACTACTAGTACGGCGACCTCCGTTTCACTCCACGGCGTTGTTGGACCGTGAACTTCGACGACGCCATTGATTTCCTCTTCTCAGCAATTCTCGAAGACGCCGAAACCTGTTTTGATCGTGCATTCCTTTCCCCTTCTCAACGACAAAATGCTAGACAAATTACCGGGCGACTTTCTTAAGTATCGCAGCTGACATCGATCACACATTTCGCTCACGAAGCCATGTAGAATCTTGTTTTAGCTCAGACCGCCTGAAAGAAGCTGAGCAGACTCCGTTGAACGCACCAGAACACACCCTTGCAATGTTAACCCATCCTGGAGTATGTAACCTCTCGGTAGAAATGGGATTGGTCAGAAATGCGCGTGTGCGCGTCGTCGCGCTGCATCGTCGCTTCCTCAAAGTCCAACTTTTCGATACATTTGAAAGCCACTGCATCCCCCGCGTTCCATACAAACCGTTCGTCATGGACAGTGAATCGAAAACAGTTTCCTCTGTGACCCGCATATGCAACTACATTTAACGGATGTCAAGGTTTGACGCTAGCGCAAAACGTGCTCGACCCCTTTTTAAAAAATCCTGTTTATTGTCTGCTGAGGGCAACGCCCGATGTAGACAGTACATGGTGTGGCTACTGCGTTCTAGTTACAATAACAACATTGGTATAATTATGGACCATTGGCTCAGGCGTGCTCGACCTCCGGACCGAACTCTTCGCTCACGGTCGATTGTGCACAGCGTTGTCGAGAGTGAAAACGCCAAGAGGCACATTGTCTATTTGCAGAGACGATGCTAATATAATATTCCCTGAGTTGCTACTGTAAACACGATATATTGTCATGGAGCCGACCGAAGGGGAGTCTGTGTGAAATAAGTAAACTGGCAAATAATAGATCATCGTATCCATTCGACAAAGACCCTCCTCCACCAACGCGGGAGTCGGGGTACCATACAACAATCAACTCGAACATAGAATTCGCATGTGCCTAGCACGCGATTGATAATTAAAGGGCTAGCAATTAAAAGAAGCCCCCATTCTCATTCCCTACAAATCCATTACCTCCACTCAGACGGTTATATTTTGCGAGAACACCACCAGCCATCAACGCGCCCTTGACAAATTGCTTTGCGAGCACAGTCTTGTCTATACCGGCACCAGCACTTGGAGGCTGTTGACCGGTGGGACTCTGTTGCGAGTTTCCCTGAGCATGATATTGTGCAGGATGGACGGAGTATCCCGCCTGGGATTGGGGCGAATAAGCATGGTGAGGGGCGGTGCCGTCACCGTGGTTCACAGCATACTGGGCTGATATTGGTGGACCCTGCGAAGACATGATATGAGTGGCGGTCCCGAAGGAGGGGTAAGCAACATGATTTATATGCGGGCTCTGGGCGTGAGATGTGTGAGAGCTTTGTGGGGACGCGTGAAGGTGAGAAAGTGGATGTGTGCCCTGTTGAGAAGCAGGGTTCACAGAGGGGTAATGTTGTGAGAACGGTGGTTGAGCGGTTTGAGATGCCATGGGGTGCATGGACTGTCCGATTTGCTGAGTCTGGCTAGGGTAGCCTGATGTGGTAAAGTGGTCAAAAGACGTTTCATGGAAAGGAATACACGCACTTGTCTGTGCGTATCCTAACGGTGGCGAATTAGGAAGGCAACCAGCACTTGGTATGCCGGACACCGTGGACGGCAGGGTTTGTTGCAGCGGAGCCGTTGTCTGCGAACCTTGAGGACCCTGAGCTGTATCAGTCTGGTGCGAGGTTTTATACATCTTGTAAGCGGCTTGCATGAGCTGTCCTGCATCATGCAGATAGTGCGTGCCGCTGCTTTGATTGCTCTGGACATTCGGCTGTTGTGGTGACTGTCCTTGAAACTGGCTGAGGTCTACTCCATTCCCCGTGGTCTGATTAAACGTGTCGAATATTTGGCCAGAGGAGTTCCCGGCGAACATCTGGCCTCCTTGAAAGTTCGCCGTAGGGTCGAATCCGCTCCCTAAGATATCACCAGTGCCCATATTGGAGTCGAACAGACCATCTACGGGGTTTCCAAACGTCATCCCATTCATACCTCCAGTGATATCATCAATAATATCACCACCGCCAAGTGTCTCAGCGAGCACAGCCCCGCCAAGCAGACCAAGAACTGCGCCTCCTGCTAGACCTGCCGCAACATTTTTATCAAGTCCCTTGCTAGATTGAACCGGTTGAGCGGGTGAAGTTTGTGCACTTGCATGTTGCGGTGGCGGTGGCGGCGGCAAGGCCTGTGATTGAAAGTTTTGATCCGGTGACTGGTAAGGAGCCTGTGCGTATCCTTGTGGTGTAGGGGATATAGCCGGAGATAACTGGGGTCTGAACTCCGCGGGAGGCTGGAAGCTTTGACGCAATGACTGGTAAGGAGCCTGTCCTTGCAGTGTAGGGGACACATTCAGAGATAGCTGGGGTCTGAACTCTGCGGGAGGCTGAAAGCTTTGATGCGATGACTGGTAAGGAGCCTGTCCTTGTAGTGTAGGGGATACATTCGGAGATAGCTGGGGTCTGAACTCTGTAGGACGACTACCAATTGATGACGCGGAGAGTACTGAATCTACTGATGGGCCCAGAGAACGCCGGGAGAGGGGAGGCGAAGGAAGAGGCGAAGGAGAAACTGTATAATACATCTGCGAGGTCGTTCCGGCAGAAGCGGCAATAAAAGGTGGGGTACCCGTTGATGAAGGAGGGAATGTCAGCCCTGCCCTGACTCTTGGAAGAAGAGTTGGGCTAGATGGTTGGTGGCTGCTACCGGGTCGAGGCAAGGAAGTCCCTGGTCGAACTTCAACCTTCGCAGCAGACGCCTTTTGGTTTAATGGAGGAGGTGCAGGTATCGTGAGTGGAGGTACGGAAGCTGTGGTAGGTGCTGGTATAGAAACTACAGGTCCCCTCGGTTGAAGAGCGGGCGGTGGTGCTGTAGAAAAAGTCTTCGCAGAGGTATCATTGCGTGGGGAGGCCGCCGAGGAAATAGGAAGATGCGGTATGTCCCGAGGAGTAGTGCTATACCTAGGTTGCCTGTATGAAGGCACCTGCTCGGATAGTGTTCGAGATGACGATGAAGCTTCCATGGATGGGTACGATGATGACTTCTCAGAGAACTTAAGTATCGAATCCTCTGCAGAGTAACCATACGATTTGTCCATGACATTCTCGGGCGCTTTCTCCATGGGGAATGACGCTACTTCTGGCATAGCCAGCGATGTTCGCGGAGATCCCGAAAGAGGTTCAGGAGAAAGTGTGCAAGTGGTCTCAGCGAATGAGGGAGTATCTGCACCTGCTGAAGGTACGGCCTCAAATACAGCATCGGATTCGTGCGGTGTGGGCGAGGGTAAATCAGGAGGTGCTAGCACTATGGGTGATTCAGCGTGATACGTGCTCGCCCTGCACATGGATTGCGACTCGTCGAAGTCTGGGGGAGGAGGTTCTTCGTCAACGAGGGAATATGTTGGTACTTCCTCGGAGGCGCCGACATCAAGACTCTCAGTCTGTATAGGTGCAGGCAAGGAATCACTAGGTTGAATCACAGACTCGGGGTCAGAAGTGATTGCAGCCACATGAGCTGGACCTCCTGAATAATCCTCCGAGTATGGGCTAAACTCCCTTGGAGGTGTCTCCGGTGGAGCTATAACATTGTTCACGCTCTCGGGCTGTAGATGGATGTCTGATAATGCCGGGCTGCCTGGTATCACATGCGTTGTACTGTGTGGGCTCCTACAAAGCAACCCCGCCTGACTTGACCGTCGGGGGTCGCCAGCAGGCGATGGCGGAGGCCCATCGGATAATTCCACTGGAACTGGGCTATGCCTATTGGGTACTTGCAGGCCGTGGGGTGCTTGAATTGGAAATAAGGAATGGGCCACAGAGATGCCTGAAGCGGAACCTGTAGCTGACTGAGGGCGCCGAGCTCTTGGAGAATTGGTGCCTCGATCAGGTACCGGTGACTGAAGATCAATGTTTGAGACACTGCTATGGTAGAAATCCACAGCGGAAACAGTTTGAGGAGCGTTTGTGTGAGCCGTGTTTAACATGAGAGATGCTCTGGCACTATAAGGAGCTCGTGGGCCAGCCGGAACTCGGTTGCTTGAAGATCCTCCCGGTCCAGAAGAGGAAGGCTGCCTGCTTGTGGGCTGCTGCTGGATCTGGACTTGGGGCTGCTTGCTTAACGAACTAGCATACAGGCGCTGGGCATATGATTGACCGCGTGTAGACGCGGAAACACCGATTGGAGACTGCAAATTTGGCTCCGGTTGTCGACCAGATGGTTTCTCTAGCTGTTGGCGCTCGATGGTGTATTGTAGAACATGTTGTCCAGAGACAACAGACCGCGCATATGCTTGCGCAGGAGTGACTGGTGCTACATGATTGATGGAATTAGACGTAGCCCTGGCAGTAGTTAGAGGCTGGGGAGTTGTCTGAGTCTGTTGGTGGGGTAACCTTGATCATTTGAGATATTTAGAATCATCTGCCGAGAAATTCTTTCAATTCACTCACCAATTTATGCCAGTCTGTGCAGAAGGGCCGTCTGCGGGCACGACACCATTGTAAAAACTCATTAGTGGGGAGCGATTAAAACCGCAGACAACAAATTCATTGTACTATATCATGAACATGATGCAAGGTACATCAAGGCACCCACGCTGAATATAACGTACGGGTCCTTGGCTAGGCATGTCTGCCTGTCAATTAGTGGCATGTCAGTGCCTATCTTGAAGGCTGTGACTGATCTGATGTCGGACCAACGTTAACATGTGCCAGGAAGCCACGGGGTTCATTTTCCTACTGGTATCTGAAATCCTCCTGCAGTGCTGACCGCTAGCATGGATCCCAGTGGAGGACTCGGACAGTAAATTGATAGTATGTAGTAGTAAACGGCAATTCCTGCTACCCCCGCGCAAACGGCGAAGATTACGGCACGACCAAGGCACCTGCCAGCTTGCCGTAAATCAATAGTGCTCGAGCAGAGCTCTCATGATACATGATGGCAGTCGGCCTCAGTCGGCGCAACTTGAAGTGACATTTATTGTGGAGTGTAAACTTTATAACTTTATTCGTTCCGAAAGAGTCAAGTCATTGGTTTTAGTCCAATAGCTACTGGTCAGTGGTAGCTAGTGATTATGTAGTCTCCCGACTCTCCCCTAGACAGACCATAGAGAAATGAAAATATTAATAGTCGTTCCTTCTTGCTATAATTGCCCGGTACCATATATATATATAACAATTTCTCAACTCCGTGAACAGGAGTCACTGGCACTTCACAGTACTACTTGTGACTACAGAAGGAATAGATCCATCAGCTAAGCATATAATAGGTCAATATGTAACCTGTACGATGGCGCCCATATGGCGTCACAAGGGACTCCCATTGCGCAAATCCAAGCTTCAAAGTACTATACACAAACACAAATCCACCGCACTATTAGGCATCAAGAACCTACATCATGCATTTGCGTTACCTAACCAAGTATGTCGTTTACCAGCCTCCTCCTCCGAAATCACCACCACCGAAATCACCGCCATTGTCATAACCATTGTCGCAATTGTTGCCATTGTCGTAACCATTGTTGTACCCTGCTAAATGTTTAGCTATGTTCGGGATACACCAGCAGCGAGACACTTACCTTGGTCATAGGCTTGCTCTCTGTCACGATCTTCATGGTCCTCGAAGGCGTCCATGAGGAGAGCACCGCCTACTAGACCTGCACCGCCTAATCCGGGCATTAAGATTATCATTGTCACACAACGGGCCAAAACTCACCGGCCAGCAGAGCAGTGCCCATCCCCGGCCCGCTCTTCCGGGGAGGAGCCTGCTGCGCATAAACAGGCTGTTGTGGCTGAGAAGAATTCCTGCCAAAGAAGCCTGGCAAAATTAAACGGCTTAACGCTCATCATCTAATGGATCACGGCCTCTTACCTCTGCCAGTGTTTTCCGCAGGTGGGTAGCCCTGGTAACCGCCATACCCACCAGCAGGTGCATTGCCGCCATACCCATCTCCGTAGCCACCGTAAGATGGCGCATAGCCGCCTGGAGCGGGAGCCTGGTTGTAGCCGTCTTGATAAGGAGAGCGGCTGAAACCACGATCGGGAGGTCCGGGGGGAGGTGTATATTGTGGTGGGCCAAGGGGATGTTCCCAAGAAGATCGAGGAGGTCGTTCCATCTCATTCACATAAAACCTGTATTTCGGACAATCATATATTGATAAGGAGGTGTCAATATTCCTGGCGGGAGCGTGATACATACCATGCTTTGTAGCTATAGATTACAGTGATCAGGAGCTCGTCGAGGGATTATCAGATTGTGAAAGACGTACTCCCAGTTATATTGGGCGACCCAGCCTCTCGGAAGAGGCCTTGAATCAAGATTCGGTGGAGGAGAGGACATGGTAAGTTGAAACGAAGACGATAGCGTTGGCAGAATTGCGGATTGCTGTTTATATAGTGGTCAGCCGCTTGGCTAAGTTGGCTCACGCACATTGGGTGACTATTAGTCACAGGTTTGCTGTGTTTATAGCAGTATACGTAAGCCCTATATGATGCTACATCCGGCTAATGGCCTGAAAAGAGAGTTCATTGAAGAATAGTATGTATAGTATTCAAAAGAATCAAATAGCCATATGCTTGCTGACGATAAAATAGTAGAGTATATGTATCATACGAAGAAGATCGAAGATAACCAACGTAGAACCGATTCACGCAGGGGAACTCTTGTCATCATTTTCTGGACTTCTTTGTTGGAGGCGGGGGAGGAGCCTCTTCCTCGGAAGAGGTATCAACTTCAGAATCGGAGGAGTCTTCATCCGTGGTCGCCTTAGCTTTGGCTTTTGGGGCCGGTTCATCATCTGACGACTCTGCATCTGAGGCTTCAACTTCCGACGCTTCCTCCGCCTCAGATCCTGAACTTTCAACCACCTCTTTAGATTTTGGAACCACCTTCTGATCAGCAACGTCAGCGAAGATCACAATTAGGACAAAAGAGCATACGGGAGCAGCGGCCTTCTTAGTGGCCTTGGGAGCAGCCTTTGCAACCTCTTTCGTTGGGGGATGTTCCGACTCTTCTTCTTCTTTCTTCTTCTTTGTCTTCTTCTCACTGTCCTTCGCCTCTGCGGGAACATGATCGGGGTTTTTGGCATTATAGGCAGCAAGGTCAACTTCATGTTTCTTCTTGGCCATGCCGTGTTGATCACGGTAGAACTAATGGTACAGATGAGGGACGATCATGTACATATGCTTGACAGGTACGTACCTCTTTCTTGTCGTCAGATAACGTCTTCCACTGGTCACCAATGAGTCTTAGCAGCTCCCTGTTGGACATGTCTGGATGTTCTTTCTTGTACGCAGAACGAATATCATTTTGGAAGAGGATGTAGGCGGAGGCAGGACCCTTTGGTGCATTGGGATCCTTGGCTTTCCTTTCGCGCTTCCTCTTTCTGGGGAGACCATCCTCGCCGATCTCAAGCGCGACGAGCTTGCGTTTACGCGACGGTTTGGCGATTGCGGCGTTCAGAAGTTCGGTGAGACTGTTAACAGTCGTTTCATCGATGGGTACTTCGGCGACAGCCTTGGAAAGCACCTCGGCAAGAGCACTAAACTGACGCGCGGCATTGTTGAACTTGATCGCGAGCTAAATAGGAGAACGCGTCGAGAGTGAGCAGACGCGATGATTAGAAGATGTAGTAGAGAATACGGACCTGAGCCTTCTTCTCATCAAGGTCAAGTTCTTCTTTTGGCTCTTTGGGTGGCATGATTATTAGGAAAGGAGGGTAATGAGAAAAGACAAGGGAAGGATTCAAATGTGAAAAATCAACAAGTTTGTTGACGGTTGTAAGTAATTATAAACTCTTGTTTGTTGACAACTATTAGGGTTCCTATTGAAACAATTGTAATCAATAGGAAATCGGGTAATGAAGTAAAGTTAAGCCCAAACCTGTGTATTGACTAGCTCGGTTAGCGACCCGTAGTCTAATGATAGTCAAGAGACTTGATGCATCTTTCCTTATCGTCTTGTTAGACCTACACGTGTAAGAGAAGATTGTCTTGGTCATTTACATAGACGTTAATGACAACGTTACGGTTGAAAGCGACCCTGCCGAGTCGCCGAGTTTGATTATTAAATCGGAGATTAAAAAAAGAAGATCATGTGTATTGTTTGCAGTGGCGACCAAGCTGACACTCGCACCCTCAACTGAGCCAGGTCTCTCAGGCAGTTTGAGCCGTAGAACGCACTGCAAAAAAAAAAGGTGATAGAAGGCTTGTATACTGTCTACATTTCTTTCCTGCTTTTCCTGCGTCTCGTTGCACAGAAATAAGCCGTTTAGTGTTGCCCAATAACGCTTGAGAACGAAGCAGCAGAAAAAGAAGAAAACAGTCCTTATGGATTTGTATTCGAATGCGCAAAACTGGACGCAGAATTTAACTGGAGGCTCTCCATCCACCGACGACTGGAAAGAACAGTCGTCCCCCACAAATGGAGCAGGAGGTCCTCCTGGAACAACTGCGCAACAGCCAAGTCTCGATTTGAGCGACTATACAATAGGTGACCTCGCGGGTAAGCATCTCATTCATAAGCGCCCGTGTTCCAAACACGCTCTTGAGCGCCCTTGCATGAAAAAAATGTTAAAATAATGGTTATCAGGACCTTCAACGTCTTCATCCATCTCTCAACCACCTGCGTATTATGGCGGTCCATTCAATCCATTCTACTTATCTTCAGTTCCCGGTCCTTATAATGCCGTACCTTATGGTTCAATGTCTTGGACTAACCCACAAACCCATTTACCGTTATCGAATTACTCCACACTCAATGGAGCAACTTCTACGACCTCCTCTCAACAGTCCGCTTCTCAGCATCAATCAACGACCCCCGCACAGAACCAGCAGCCGATGATGATTGAGTGCGTTCTACCTCCTTCGTGTACTTATTTGTATTCACACACTTGTTGCAGTCCTGCATTGACAACTATGAACGGATCTGGATCGGAACCGCCCCGACAATATACGCAGTCTCCAACTCATGTAGCTCAACCCACTCCCCAATCCCAACAACGACATCCATATCAATATCAGCATCCTACTTTATCCATTAATCCTGCCTATGTTCTTCCCGCACATTTTTATTCCTCGCATTTAACTCAGCATCAACCCACACCACAGTCTCAAGGCACTCTTTCGCCCCACGTTCTTCATTCACCTACTTCTACAATGATGGGACAATTATCTTCCTTCTATGCACAATCGCCATCTACACCTTCAACTTCTACGGCAACCACAACGGCCTCTACCACCGCTGCGTCCGTACAACCACCGATCATAAACATTCAGGCTCGAAAGGATAGTTTTGTCACTGACGTCAGACCACTTTTACAGCCCAGCGCATTCGGTGGTGCACGTGCTATTAACAACCTCGTTAATCTCATCGACGACTTTGGTTCTGAGGAGGTCGAACCTGCCTTGCGAATGGAAATCCTCACCAAGATCCGCGATAACGCCGCCAATCACTATTTTCGGGCGTGGTCCGAAAATAACACTGCTATGGACATTACTCGGGAATGGCTAAAAGCTGCTGCCACAGCCAAGCCTGACACCCCGTTGGTTGACACTGTAATGCCGTTACTTCACGTAGGTTACGCAAACTCAAGGCTGCAAGTCGCCTCTAATGCTGTTGCAAAGATCATCGACAGGTTACCGTTGTCAGTCGAGTCACTCAAGTCCTCAAAGTTAGGCAAGATCATCGTCAAGTTAGTCAAGGAGCCTCCAGCTCCAGGTGAGCGTCTGGTTTCACAAATATCCACTCACGCGGTCTCCGTGAGAGACTCCGCGAACCGTGTACGATCTCGGCCTTGCAACCAAAGCTTGCGTGTCTGTCGTATTATTACTACTTGCTTGAGCGAACGAAAAATACATGTATCTAACTCTTGTTTGATTTCTGTGTTACCCAAATGTGCAGCGATCAAGGACATGGCATCGAACTTGGAACGGAGATGGCGACAATTGGTCGAAACTGCCCAAAAGCAGGCAGAAAATACTCAAACTGAGGGTGGGTCACGCCAGTTCGTTGCACCACTGAACAAGCGCTCATCAATCCATGCCTTGCAGACTCGAAGCTCAAAAAGCGAAAACCTGTCGAACAGCCTTCAGCAAAAGCGCCACCACCTGCGAAAAAGGTCGCCGTGGCGCCTACTGCCTCCGCATTGAAACCAACTGCGATGAAGAAAGAGACGAAACCTATTCTCGCCGTCAAAGACGCTCGTTCCGATTCCTCGTTCTTTTCTGCGCCGAAACCGAAAGCCAAGTTACCAAGCTTCAAGAAAGCCCCGGTACCGGTCAAGAAGGAACCTGATCTCAATGTTGCTCAACCATCGTCGATCGATCCGTTCCAGGAGGCATTGAAGTCGATGGGTAAAGGACGCAGGGACTCTCCAGTAACACCTACACCGCCACCAACTTCGACATCAATTACGCCGCCCCTGGTGACTTCTGGAAGAACAAAGAGAAAATCTGTGACTTGGGCTCCTGATGGTCAACTAGAATCGATCCGGCTGATAGAACGAGCTGTGTACGACGATGACCCTGTTGATGTCAGCATTCTACTCTCGTTTTTTATGTTGGCGTACAGTACTTATATTGATGTCACGAATACCTTTGTGTGTTTTATTCACATAGGGCGTTCATACTGCTCACAGTTTGCGCGATCTGGATCGGGGAGAAGGTGCTGCTCTACATGCTCCCCTATTCGAGGAAGTTATCGATTGGACGGACCCAATAAGTGAGCAAATTATCATCGTTATCATGAGTCACCACCAATTAATAAACACAATCTATAGCTCTCGAATTCGATCTCGAAGCATCCCAACGCGGACAGAATAGTGCGGAAAAGACAACTCAGGAGGAGCGTGAGCAAACAGCTTTGGGTGCACTATATATGTCGCCAGCACAGATACCTGACAGTCCTGGCGAGCCCACGACGACCATCGGTGATGACGAGATAGATGTGGACGTGAAGGTCATGACAGTGGGGTCAGAGTGCGATAATTTCTTTTGGAGAGAAGCCGATTTGCCTCAGCCGAACGCCGCATCTGTCGCTGATCTCGTAGGTCAATTATCGGGAGGTTTTGATTCGATGAGTGCGCCCGGCAACACGGGCGTCCAATCATTTGGCTTTGATCCCGCACTGCTTTCACAATTGCCTATTGCTCCAGAACAGGTGCAAGAATTGATGCAACAGGCCCAAGCGCTGTTCAACCAGCACCCGTCGGGAACCGGTGTACAAGCCCAATTTGGAGGCACAGATCAGAACTGGAATGCGAATACCGCCACCGGTGATTATGGTCGAGGATATGCTGACAACGGCAGTGCTCGCGGGCGATGGACATCAGATAGGGGTCAGTTTCGCGGTCGCGGACGTGGTCGGGGACGGGGAGAAGATGGATCGTATAGAAGTAGTAAACGAAAACCATGCAGTTTTTTTGCAGAAGGAAGGCGAGCATCAAACATACCAAATTCTGGATCGTGGGACTAAAACTAATTCAACGTAATAACAGGTGCAGATATGGCGATCAGTGCGATTTTAGCCATGAACCTATTTTTTCGTGATGCGGATGGGAAGGTGTTTAGAGAGATGGGCGGTAATATCATATACAGCATTGAGCATGTTTTGTGGACTAACATTTTTGATATCCAATTCGATGGCATCTTGATGACGGTCTATCGCGTCAGTCAGCGTTGCAACGTTGAAACGTTGATACCCCAAGAACTCAGAAATCAAAATCAAAAGAAGCTGAACACGCCGTGTGATGATACAGAAAAAACTATAAATAAAAACAGATGTATGTAAAGCATTTCTACTTGGCAATGAGCGTGGCAAGATAGATCCCTAGCAAGGATAGAATACTATGTCGATATCGAAGCTGGTATATTCAGCATCATACAATGCGACAAAACAATATGATCGCTCAGATCGATCGACGACGAAGCAACAAAAGAAATCCCGAATATATATTAATCATCCGCTACCGTCTCTGGCCCAACTTTCGCGTCTTTTTGATGGTTCGGCATTTGATTGAGAAGGCGAATTGGTGTCGTTGGTCTTGCGTTTGAGGGTAGCCGAGGTCATTGAAGGCGTTGTCATGCCAGATTGGGAAGGTGTGGGTGCATTGGCTGGAGTTGAGGAGTTGGGGGGTGCGGTGCCAGATGCAGTTGGGGGTCTGGTCTGCTTTTGTGAGTTGTCAGCCGAAGGAGGGAGGTTTTGGGGGGAGTGCGCAGAGGGCCCAGGATGCGATACTGACGGAGATGAAGACATGCTGTGATACAATGTCACCGCTGGCGATGATGAGAGCCCATTTATGGCTTGAAAGGGGAGAAAGTGCCCATTTGAGAGAGGCATGCCCATGTAGGGACCCCCTTGAGATCCTTCTCGTAGCTTGTCCGCTAGCTTTGCAAGAGCATCTAACCGTTCCAGAAAGTCAGCAACCGTTCACTAAGAGTCTCAACAAGTAAACATTACCCATTGGTCCCAGCTTCGTTTCATTGGCGAATGCGATTAAATCGGTCATCTGACTAACACTTTCTGCCAACTACCGCGCCTCGCGTTCAGCAAAGAAAAACGCGGAGCCGAAAAGTACATACCTCCAGACATCGCATCGTGGCTTGGGGAATCCCAAATGCGTTCACAGGTTCTCCCGGTATCGACGCATGGTCGATCATGACTCTGGGTTCTTCCCATATCCTCTCATCATCCATCCTATGCATCACCGTCCCATTCGGACTTGGCGTCGGTGCCGTCCTCACGCGTGGCGTCTTCGGTGACTCCGATTGCCTGTGACCCATTACCGAATCCAATGCGATAAATTTTTCGTGAAGATTTGCATCGAATTGGAGGTGATCAAATTTGAGGGAATATGGCGGTGTTTGGGAGGGGGCGGTGTTTGGGTGAGGAATGAGGAGAACGTGGACTGTGAGCGGGCCCCGAAGTGTGACTGTGTACCCGTTGGTGTATCGGTATGTCCAAACAGCTGCAACACACTCCACTACCGCATGGTGTTGTGAGAGTAGCCGTTCTCTGGCACCATCTAGTGAGAGTGTCATGGATTTGACGCCGGATTGGGTGGTAACTAGAAAAAATCGAGGCAGTATGGGGACGCCGATCTCTGATGCCGGAACGTATAAGTAAAATTTAGATTTGGGAACTTTACGACTGACCGAAAGGCTTTGCTTCATTCCGCTGGTTATCTTTCCATAAGGTGAATTTCATTATAGCCTTCGGAGTGAAGTAGTCTTTCACAACAGTTTCCCAGTGTGATAGCTGATGTTTCTACCGAGGATTCATGATTGAGGGATGATATTAATATGAAATGACGTACAGTGGGGTTTTCGGCTGAAAGGACTCCGCTGAATTGGAGCAATCGAACAAGACCCTGTCCAAGACCAACGGGCATGGCCACCCTTTGGGAGAACATAAGTAGAGCCAAGATAAGCAATCTGAATAACACTTACACAGGGGAGGCGCGAATAGGAGGCGGGACCGTCGACTCCGAGGACGGCGCGGTCGTAACAGGAGGTGCAGCAGTAGCACTCGTCGAAGACTGTGGCGGCCGTGGAGCTATTGGCTGCTGCCCTGGTGTTGCCTGCCGTTGTTGATGCGGTGACGTCTGTGCTTGTGTGATGGGGGGTATACGTGTAGGAGGCAGGAGACCGGTGGAAGATGAAGGCGGAAGCTGGGTATGTGTGGCTCGGGGTGTTTGCGACGGCCCAGCTTGTGATGGTGGTCTAACAGAGGGACCCTGTGGCTGAGACTGGGGTCTTGGAGGAGGTTGTACATGACCTGCCATAGGATCGGGCTGATGCGGAGAGTGTTGATGGGGAGGTGGGGGTTGTCGAGGTGGCATGGAAGGATGTGCACCAGACGTGGGATGAGATGGGGGACGAGGGGGGACGTTTACTTGGGTCATGTTGAAATTAGCGCTAAAATTGCTATCGGTGTGCTGCATCTCAAACTGCTGGGCAGGAGTGGGGAACCCAGGACGACTGCCTGGATTAGACATGGCATCTGACATGTTCTGCTGTATTTCCATGTCACCCTGGATGGATGAGGGCACAAAGTTGGTGAAGGAAGAGTTGGCGGACGATATTCGATTACCTCCAGGGGTAAAACTAGGGTTGAATTGGGGATTCTGGATACCCATGAATACTCCATCACCGGGGTTCATTGGACGAGCACCGGGGGGTTGTGAAGGACCTGGTGTACCCATGATCATATTAGTGGCATGACCTTGGGGACCTCCAGGACGAGGGGAAGAAGAATGATGTGAGTGGGATTGAAAACCATTTGGTGGCATCGTTGTGGGAGTTCCGGCTTGAGGAAGAGTTGGTTGTGGTAGACTGTTCATCAACTGGGGTTGTGATGATTGAGTTCGCATTGGATTTTGGCCTTGAGAGCGATTTAACAACTCTGGAGACATTGAGCCAGGAATCGAGGAGCCGGGGATGCGAGATAACATTGGTTGAACGGATGTTTGGCGTAAATGAGAAGGAATGTTATTTTGTGGATTCATTGGAGGTATGCCAGGCATACTTGGTTGACCGGGATGAATTGCTTGGACGTGATTGACCTGATTGAGCGCCTGTGGATGAGAGGAGACTCTTCTGACCTGACCAAGATTGTTTCCAGCTTGAGGCATCATGTTACCCGAAAAAGCGATTGATTGAAGAGGGTGTTGAGAAATAGAGTTCATATGAGAATTAGCTTGTGAAGCTGCTGCTGCGGTGTTCATCTGGACATTCTGTGCCTGCTGCTGCTGCTGTTGATGCTGCTGCTGCTGTTGCTGCTGTTGTTGATGCTGCTGCATCTGGTGTAACTGCTGCTGACGACGACGCAAGTCATATGGTGTGTGTGGCTGCATGCCGTTTTGGGGTTGTGGACCGGCTGCTGCGAGTAAGTTCATTGGGTTAGTTGGCATGAGCGAGACGTGACCCGGAGGAGGCTGCTGCTGCTGCTGTGGCGGCTGTTGTTGAAAGTGAGGAGAGGGATTCATGGAGAGTTGTGCCATGCTCTGTGGTCGAAGCATGTCACCTTGTCGAACGTTCATGACGATCAAAGATATGTGAAGAGTAGACCGATGACGAGGGGGAGGACAACGACGGGCTCGACGAGTACGACGACTAGTACGACGAGCACGATGACGACGACGAAGTCGACTAGCTAAATTATTAATTGAGATGGTCGGAGGACGACAAGGGTCGACGTCGTCCAAGTTTGAATCTAGTCCAAGTACCTACCAAGACTCTCACACGCAGCCTTCGTTTACCACGTGCTTGACAGCACAATCACCGGAATCAAAATTTTATAAACACAGCATTCAACAACACTCATGGTCCGTAAATTCAAGTATCATGAGCAGAAATTGCTCAAGAAAGTCGACTTTCTAAACGTATGTCTCATTCTGTATTCAATAAAACATTAACCCAAAGACTATAAAGTGGAAACAAGACGCAAATATTCGTGAGATCAAAGTCATTCGCAGGTACCATATCCAGGACAGAGAAGATTACCACAAGTAAGCTTCTAACTCCTCCGTCGATCATGTTATCATGAACATCATCACAGGTACAACAAGCTCTGCGGTGCTCTAAGATCATTTGCACACCGTCTATCCGTTCTACCGGCTCAAGACCCGTTTCGTACCCGCATGGAGTCACAGCTACTCTCTAAACTCTATGACATGGGCGTACTCAACTCCCAAGCAAAATTGAGCGACGTTGACAACAAACTCACCGTCGCTGCCTTTTGCAGGCGTCGCCTTGCTGTTTTCATGTGCATGAGCAAGATGGCAGAAAACAGTCAGCGCAGTACGTCCAAACTTATTCAGCTTTCACTCCCAACTCACTTCTTTAGGCTGCAAAATTTATCGAGCAGGGTCATGTCCGTGTTGGTCCTGATACTATTACCGATCCCGCTTTTCTTGTCACGAGGCGCGTTACAAAATTAATCTCGTTTGCGTATTCTCACCGCCTCTCAGACACATGGAAGACTTCGTCACTTGGGTCGACACTTCCAAGTTGAAGAGGACCATCATGAACTACAACGACGAGGTAAGCGATCGACTGCAAAATTCAGATTCCTTTCTGACTATCTTCCGAAGCTTGACGATTACGATCTACTATGATCGCCCTTCGACATGTCCACAAGTCGATAATGTCGTCATGTGTGTTACCTCCGTATTGTCGGTTCCTGCGGACTTAACCTTAACTCGCTTACCCTTCATCAGCCTATTCTCGGTGCCGCTCCCTTGGCTGTTTTGACGGCAGGCACTCGAAGCATGTCATATTCAGACTGCCGACGACACAGCATAAAAGTCGTAACACACCGCACTCGTTCACATATTCTCGTGATTGTGCTAGGGTTTGGACTCATTATAGGTCTTGATACGCTGCTATGAATAGACCGGGAGCTGCTTCTTTAACCATGTGCGGTTATCTGTTGTTCTTACTACTGGAATTATCGATCATGACTTCACTACAACGGGAGCAGCCACTTTTACACGGGTCAACCCGAATATGAATTGCAATACATTCAGCATAAAGATAATAACGGCTATTAGGCGGCAACAGGCCCGTGAAAGAGGCAGGGGTTCGCGCCATTTTGGACTATGTTTTTCGCTTGCCGAATCAAGCAGATCACCATGATTTCTGACAATCGTTATCTGAGTAGTACTTCAACTCGGGGTCGCCCAGAACAACATCGTCTGGTGACGATATGGGCCGGTTATGGATAGCAACACTAGTCCACCAAATGACGCGTGTGCTGTACTGCAGAGTATGAGTAGAACCCATTCAAAAGACACATGGAAGTAACTTACATGAAGTTAGGATCTGGTGTCGAATTTATATAGTTGCGATTAATGGGTGAATACATTACCAAGGGGTGATTGCGATTTACTAGAGTATGATTTATAATCTTCCTCCAACCCTCTCCTCCCATTCCCATACGGTCTCCACGCATCACTGTATTTTCCATCTTCGCCATCTATGGTGGGTGCGCCGCCGCCCCGTAATAACGATGAAGCAAGAGCCATTGTGAGGCATATAACCATGATACTGGATTCATATACATGTTAGGGAAATGGTGCTAGAGACGCGTGAGTTCGGACATCAATCGTTTCTGTGCCACTCTTGTCGATGAGGCGGGTCTTGTGACAGTGACGAAGCAAGGGCCGTTGCAAAAATGAACTTATTCATCAGAGTGAAGAGTCTGTGGTATTATAGTCGAGCATCGAGTCCATTTCATAATTTCTGAAGAACGTATAACCAAGACCTAAAGTCGATCGCAAGTAAACTGAGCGATGGGTTCAGTCCGGACACCGGTCGATTTTTGGCATCATTGATGATTGGCATACAGTGAATGAGCACTTGAGTCATCGAAGACGATGTTAGAGGACGTCGATGCATCGATGGCTGTCGTTGAATACTGAATGTGAGCAAGTCAAAGTATAGACCAAAGTAGTATGTGATATAGACCATGGATTTTGTAATCCACACGTGAATTTGATACCTGCTCAAACGCGTTAAACTACCGCCAGACCAATACCCTTCCTTTTATCCCAAATCTAGCTACAACTGTCATCCTGTGACATTTCTCACTCACAGAACATTTTCTTGACGCAGGACTCACAACTATTGGTTCGGAGCTCCTGCTTTACACTCCACTTTGACCATGGCCGAAGGAGACGGCAACATCAAAGTGGTGGTACGATGTAGGCCCCTCAATTCTCGCGGTGCGTTTGTGAGGGATACGCATGCATCGTTCATACTCATCCCAGCTTTTGCCAATTCTTGCCTACAGAACTCGCACGAGGTGCCAAACCACTCATCCGGATGCAGGGCAACCAGACTTTCATTGACCCACCGGAACACGGTTCTCAGCAAGACTCTAAACGCGCTACGGAACGCAAGACGATGGCCTTTAGCTTCGATAGGAGTTATTGGTCTGCGGGACCACGAGATGAACCGGGGTACTGCTCGCAGCAGACTTTGTATGACGACCTGGGAAAGGAGTTGTTGGACCATGGATTTGCGGGATTTAATGCTTGTATTTTGGCTTGTGAGTGGTTTCTTCTTGGTGTTTTTGTGAGGTGTGCTGATGCTATCTTGGTCTGCCAGATGGGCAGACTGGTATGCTTGTGTTTTATTTTGTTACTGGGTATGGCTCATGTGCCTTGACCAGGATCTGGTAAATCATATAGGTATGTTCAAGAATATTCTTTGGGTGTGTGATACTGAAGATTGGTGTACAGTATGATGGGATGTACGTATGATGAAACGAATGATTCGCGTACTACTTATGGAGATCATCACTAGATGGACCCGACAAGGGAATAATACCCTTGACATGTTCCGAGCTGTTTGTACGTGTAGAGAATAAGAAGGCTGCAGACCCCAACATCAGTTTCACTGTAGAGGTTTCCTACATTGAGGTACGTCGCATGCTTCGAACCACAACACAATCTTCACTTTATTTTTCATTCTTAGATCTATAACGAGAAAGTACGCGACCTCTTGAATCCAAAGAACACAGGAAACCTTCGAGTGCGCGAACATCCTAGCTTGGGTCCGTACGTAGAGGATCTATCGAAGCTAGTCGTGAACGGCTACCACGAGATGATGACACTCATGGACGAGGGCAATAAAGCGCGTACTGTCGCTGCCACGAACATGAACGAGACCTCCTCCCGGTCCCATGCAGTATTTACGCTGCTATTGACTATGAAAAGACACGACGTAGACACGAATTTAGATACCGAGAAGGTGTCGCGAATTAGGTGCGTCTTTTCGTGTTGCGATTTTTTGATAGACGTTCATTGATTTATATATTTGACGCAACCTAGTTTGGTTGACTTGGCAGGTTCTGAGCGGGCTAATTCGACAGGCGCCACTGGACAGCGTTTGAAGGAGGGAGCGAATATTAACAAATCGCTCACTACCCTTGGGAAAGTCATTTCTTCTCTTGCGCTCGCGAGTCAGGACGGGGGAAAGAAGGGGAAGAAAGGAAAGGCTGAAGAATTCGTGCCTTACCGTGACTCGGTGCGTCATATATTTTTTCTGGATGATACCTATTTATAGATTTCGACTAGGTCTTGACATGGTTGCTGAAAGATACTTTGGGTGGGAACTCCAAAACTGCTATGATAGCCGCCATCTCTCCAGCAGATTATGAGGAGACACTGAGTACCCTACGATACGCTGACCAAGCGAAGAAGATCAAGAACAAGGCTGTCGTAAACGAGGACCCTAATGCCAAACTTGTTCGCGAGCTCAAGGAGGAACTCGAATTGCTTAGAGGTAACCTTCGTCGTTTTATACTTTGACAACTGGTTGACACTCCTCAGCACGTGTGGCGACGTCCAGCGGGGAGGATACATTCGACCCGCACGTTCCGCCTGAGAAACAGAAGGTACAAGACGAAAGATGGAAAGATCAAGACTGTTACCAAAGCGGAGTTGCAGGAGCAGATGGAGACCAGCGAGAAATTGATGCAGGGTCTGAATGAGACGTGGGAGGAGAAGATGTCTCGGACGCAGGAGATACAAAAAGAGCGGGAGAAGGCGCTTGAAGAGCTTGGTATCACGGTCGAGAAGAATTTGGTGGGAGTACATACCCCGAAGAAGGTGAGGATGGGACGCGTGAAGAAAGTGTTTTGTGCTGATCTGGCGGACGTGTTTGTTTTCAGATGCCACATTTAGTGAACTTGGTTAGTGGATTTCATTTTTCTTTGTGGGTTGTGTTTAAATTTCTATTGTGTCTTTTCAGAATGAAGGTGGGAGCTCGAGATTTAGCTCGAATGCAATCTGATTGTGTATTTCATCAGATCCTCTCATGAGCGAATGTTTGATATACCAACTCAAACCTGGCACAACCCTCGTATGATTGCTCTTCGCTTGCTCATTGCTGCTGAATATACATTGGTGTTCGATAGGTCGGTTCCTTGGACAGCGAAAAACCCGCTGCTATTCGGCTGAGCGGTGAAAATATCCTCGAGGAACATTGTTACTTTGAAAACACAGACGGCAAAGTGACCCTTCACGCCATGCCCGAGAGCGTCACCGTGAGAATCATCTTTTGCGTACACAACTACATTTTCCTGACTATGTCTGCAGTTCTTAAACGGCAAGCAAGTTTCTCCTGGACAGGTAAATCAATTGGTTTTTAGATGGAAAGAACTCAATGTCATTGATGTAGTCTTATAAACTGCGTTCTGGATACCGGATCATCCTTGGTACGAATATGTTTCCTATCAGTGGTGGAGAATAGCTCATCTGTATTGTTCAGGGGAGCACCACGTCTTCAGATTTAATAATCCCGAGGAAGTCCGCAAGCAACGTGATCGTGCCACAGCAAGATCCAACTTACACTTGAGTGTGTCTGCCGCCGATGTGGAAGGGGATTCAGTGTCACCATCCACACGCCCGGAATCGAGGGCATCTTCTGCGGACGAAGCTGATGTGGACTGGAATTTTGCACGTCGAGAAGCCGCACTCGCCCGCCTTGGCCTGGATCCTGCTCTTGATAACCTACCAGACGAAGATATCAATAGGCTCTTCGAACGCATTACGAAGGTGAAGTCGATGCGAGATCACAACTCCAAACCGCGACCAGAAAGTAGCCTTAGCGCTCGGGATGATATCTGGAGCGAGTCAGGTCGACCTTTTTCGAGTGACGCTACTACAGACGACACAAGCCTTGAAGCTGGAGCGAGTCATGGTACACCTGACGTTGACGGACCTCTAAAGGACGTTCAGTACCAACTCGAGTCCCGTCTTCAAGCCATCACAGAGTCTAGTGAGGCGGAAGACTTGAAAGTAGAGAAAGATCATATGGAGCACCAACTGAAAATGGTGCAGCAGCAGCTTAAACGCATCATAAATGCACGGGCCCGGGGAGAATCTGAGGAAGAGATTGTGCATTTTGAGCCCGTCATTTATACGGCGAGACAGCTAAGGCTCATTCGTAAAGTCCTGGACAAGTGGAGAGCCCATCGTTCATTTTCAATGGCTGAAGCTGTTCTGTCCAGTGCCGTGCTTGTAAAAGAAGCCAACATAATTAGGTGCGTTGTTACTTCATTTTCCAGATATCAACTGTCTCATTCAAATTAGCAAAGAGTTGGGCAAGGAGGTTTCTTACAACTTCACTATTGCTTCTGGCGGGTCCCTGGCAGCTCCGATATCTGGAGTCGATACAATCGGGGGTCTGGACGGTTTCGGCGATGTCGCCGACCCCACACTAGCATCAGGAACTCAACCTTCCGTCGCCGTCAAGGTTCTCGACAAACGGCATAATGCTATCTACACCTGGTCCTTGGATCGACTTCAGCAGCGAGTCAAGCGAATGAGAAATTTGACTACATACATTGACAGACCATCCTATACCCAGCATTTCAGCTCGGATGAACCTTTTTACGATTCCCCTCCCCCACAATTCTCATTCATCGGCAATGCCCTCCTATCGCTTGCACCCCTGTCTCGGCGAATATCATCTACATCAGTCGTGCCAATATTCTGCCGGTACACTGCGGAAGCAATAGGCTCGTGTCGCGTGGATATTAAGATTTCCAGTGTTCTGCAAACATCATCGAAGCATGGTACTCCCGCATCAACCCGCCCTACATCCCCTGCTCCATCGGCCATACCACCCGGAAGCAAGATCAGCTTCTTCCTGACCGTAGATTCGATTAAAGGTTTATCCTCACACGACTTCTCGGCACTACACCTCCAATTGCGTTTATCATCTTTCGTGGGACCATCACTCACGAATGAAGAGATATTCTCATCCACTGCACTTGATATGGAGACATCTTCTCTGTCGGAGCTGAAGTTTCGACGCGCATTTTCGATCGTGACTTCTTCCAAGGTAATCACATACCTGCGTCAAGGCTATGCTCCCATAGAGTTCTTTGCGGCTGCTAAACCCACATATTTGGAGCGTCTTGAGCGCTGGGATGAGATGCGTGAACTTAGGGTTCATGACTGGCCAGGTCCTCCCGGGGCCCACACGGACACACTTCCAGTCATCCTTCCCCAGATGCGCCGCTCGGAAACCGATTTCGTAGTAGAGCAAACCCATGACGTAGTCGCTTATATCCAGATAAAGGAGCTTGGGGCTGATGGTCAGTATATTCCAGTGCCCGTGCTTTCGCAGAGCAACCTCGATCCGGGGGTATTCTCTCTGCATCAGGGACTGCAGCGCAGAATTGCTCTCGTGCTTTCATCAGATTCTGGACCACAACTCCCATGGACAGATGTCACACGAATACGTCTGGGAAATGTCCGCCTCCTCGATCCGAAAGGTCGCCAGCACAACTCAACATCGAAAATAATGGTTACGCTCCCGCTCTTGGCAGATCAAAGTGTTGCGTTCAGACCGGATGGAACGGGGACCCTCACGGCGGAAGCGCTATGGGACTCAAGCATCCATGATTCTCTCCTGCTCAATCGAGTCACGGCGAGTGCACACCGAGTGATACTGCAGGTTGCCTGGTCCGTTGCTGTGGACACGTGTAATGAACCAGTACAGTTTAGCATGGACATAGCGGTCACCATTCAGACACGGGACGCACGCCCGCCAAACCGATTCCTAACATTCCTAAGCTCGGGGAAAATCACCTCACGTATCAGCTCAATCTTCAACCTACGTCTTTCGCCTCCTCTGACACGTTCGCCTCAGGATTTGTGGCGTTTGGATACGTCGGAAAAATATGTGCGCGGCGAGGAGTTACTGAGCACGTGGAAACCGCGTGGTATCTCAGTTGTGGAGGACTACAACCGGCTTATTTTAACGGAACGACGGGCGGCGGATGTCCAAGCAGTTCGGGTGCTGTCGGCATCTTCATGTTTACCTGTGCGCCCTGATTCGGAAGCTGCTGTTTGGGGTTCGGAAGCACTGCTGCGGAAGGCACTGGGTCTCTGGCAAAAACGCTTTGGTCATGCAGGACAAGTAAGCTGGTTCAAGTTGGATTTACATAATTTGACATCAATTATTCCCAGATCATTCTGAGTCAAGTTCCTACAGAGACCGACTGTGTTATTACATCTGGGAAGCCTTCCACCCGTGCGCTTCCGCCGGAAGGCGTGAAACTGAACTCCTCCACTACGCTGGTACCCCGTAGGCAAGCTCCTGGTTACTTAAGTGATTACGAACGTTCCTGAACTCTAATCCCATAGTGACGGACCCACGAAAAGAGGTCATCTCCTGATTCTGACAGACGCCAGTCAAAATATTTGGGAAAAGCGCTGGTTCGTCCTTCGAAGGTAATCCAATGATTTTTCCACGCAGAACACTGCTTACGGTTGATTTAGACCCTATTTACATATCTACACACACTCTAACGAATTGGAGGAGGCCGGCGTTATCAGTCTTCACGGAGCAAACCTTGAATGTGATGCACAGAAAGAGTTGCTTTTGGATGTAAGCCCTCCTGTTCCTATCTCAGATGTGTTCGTGCTTAGCTTTCATATAGAAACAATTCTGTTTTACACTCTTTACTACTGCGAATTCGCACGTACTCGCCGCACCCTCGTTCAAGGAGTTACAGTCATGGACTTCAAAGCTTGACCCTACTGGCACCATCTAATATACCACACAGCATTGCTGCTTCCATGTTGCGGATCCACATCTCATTATCGGTTTACTGTTCGCCATACAACTGTCTCTTATGCTATACCTTACGTATGTTATTCCCTCCACCACTCGTACATAGACAGCTCGTGCCATTATTGAACAAACTTACTATATATTGCAACATCCGTCGGAGGCTTGGCAAGGAAAATATTCTCTTGCAACCACAGGACAACGTTGTGGCACCAGTACCGCAGCCGCCGATCTATGCGTCACACGCGTTCACCTATGCTTAAGGCAATGTTTTCATCCACCGTTTAAGGTTTCGAGACCAAGTACGTATGCGGATAATGGGGCTCCTTTATAACTTCCCTGTCCGACTGACAAGTCATTTGACGTTCACTCAATTGTTTGTACCATCGATTTGTACTAACACAATGTATCTCACGCGGCCACACATGTTCAGGGCCATGCGATTGTGTCAGGCCGAGCACCTTTGCATTTGCAAACTTAAAGCGTGGCGTATGTCTTGTGCGTCAATGACCAAATATCTGCGGAGATTTCGCGATGCCAGCGGAATCGGGTAGGAAGGCCGGCGGCTGTGGCACTTGCATGATACGTCACATCACCTGTGCCAGGTCTGGCGCAAACAAAGGGTCACGCATGATAGTATTGTGGCGCAAAGGTGGCGGCCACTGACACTGGCAGTTCTACGTCGTGAGGTCGTTAAAACTTGGTTCAAACCTAAAGTTACATCAGGAAATGCTGCACCTGATCCGTGGTCGTTGTAGGCCCATCAGCATCAGGGTTAAGAGCCCCTTGAATGTTGTACACAATGCGAAGATGATATTTCAAACTTTGCTTGAAGTCATGAGATTTTGGGATATATTTGCAGACATTTCCACCTTGAATAAGTAATAAATATCTGGGTGGGCTTCTCTGTACGTATATACGGGAGCGAGCGCTTAAAATTCGATGGCGATTTCCGTTGTGCCTGTCGAGAAATTCTATTTTATGTCTCAGGAGTAGTCTGGAGCCAATCTGGAGCTGTGGCAATTACCGTCTATGACGGCATTGCAGAGAAGATAGGAAGTGTTTGACATGACAATGTGACAAACCGACATCGGCAATGAGTGCGAATGTTCACACCTCTGCGGCAGCTGCCAATGATAGGCTCTTCCTTTGATCGTGATAGAAAGCTAAACGATAGAACTTCAATCTCCCAGATGCGAGACACGGCGGTTTGACTGTATGGTCATGCAGGGATGACAAGAACGACATCTTTCTCACCTTTCAGTCAGGGGCAACTTGTCAGAAGGTCGCCGGCGATCATCGATCAATAGAGAGCGAGCAGCCTTGCTCACAGTAAGTTCCTTGCGGAAGCGGCGAAGTCAACTTGCTAAACCAGGAGTAGTGGACCATAAAACAATAATATTCCCGTACGTAAATAAGAGACAGGTGGTAAGATGTATGGATGCGATATAAAGTCGCAGACCTATGCAACGTATAGATACAGTAGTAGAGTAGAACGAAATGTGCGCACTTAAGCGGAATAGATAAGCAGCAAATAATCGGAAGAATAAAGTAGTAATGTGCACGGGACTCTATGTGCAAAGGAATCGATCTTTATGAGATCCTTTTCTAGAATTACTTCCGCGGTCAAATACCTGATTCAGAACGCGAGCAATGATGCACTTTAATTTCAGTCGCATGTAGCGGGGCAGTCATTCTATGAATGGAATTAGAGAATGATCCAAGGAAAAAAATGACAACAACATACCGGACGCGTGAATGTAAGCATATGACAGGTGATGTAACCTTTGGCAAAACCGGCGCCCGCATATGCAAACAGGTATTGCCATTTGCGTCGGAAAGCATCGAATTCGGCATTGTCTTTTAGACTAGGGTAGTCTTTGACAATCAAGTCTTGTCTGACATTAGCGTCAAGCCGACGTCCCCATTCGCGCAATGTCCGTGGGTAGTCTACACACAAGGGTCAATGATTAAGAACGCCATGTGGAACAAAAAAAGCACTTACGAGCTGCGTGATTTTCGACACCCTCAAGGGTGAACCGTCCTTCTGAACCGGTGTTTGCGGCGGTAATGAGTGCCGTGGCACTAGGGAGGCACGAATTAGGCCACATGTATTTGCGCATGAAATCTTCAGGCCTAAATTTTTGAGTGAGCATGTGGAAAATTAGAAGTACAAACAACGTACTGATAGCCAGAGTATCGCGATTCTGGGAATGTTGATGCACTAACCACAGCTGTTGCATTGGTGGACTTGAGAGCAAAGTCGACAAGTCTGAAGTAATCGTGGTAATACTTAGAGCCCACATGCTATACGGTCGAGCGTAAATCATCACTATGCCACCACTGGTAACTGATTGCATACCTCAAGCATCTCGATGCTGATAAACGCGTCAAAGGCCTTTTCGAACGAAGGAGGAATCTCGCGGTAGTCCATGAGATGAACACGAATGACATCTTGCAGACCAGCCGCCTTGACGCGTTCCTCAGCAAGAGCCTTTTGTTCTTTTGATAATGTCAAAGTGTCAACTTCGCAACCAAAAGTGCGAGCAGCCTAAAATAGTTGAAGATGAGGGATAGCAGTAGAAGCATTTATGACGCAACCGACCTCGATAGCCATACCGCCCCATCCAGAACCAAATTCTAGGATTCGGTCACCTGGCTTGACCTTGGCGGCCGTGAGAACATAACGAATTTTACGGAGTTGAGCAGCTTCCAAGTCCCCGGGTGTGGGACCAGATATCAAATCACCACGAACACCTCCTTCGGCTTCGGTCCACAGGGCGCAGGAGTACATCATCTCCTGACTCAAGAAGGCCTAGAGATGGAGTCGTGAGATCGTATTATTGCCGTGAAAACACGTTTCGTTACCTTGAATAGCTCATTGGATTGATCGTAACTTGCGATGGCGTTCAAACGGGCTTTCGAACGCGTCTGGCCGAGGAACGCGTTTGATAGTCCGGAAATAGCCGATGTTACCCGTGAGACAGCAGAAGTCAGATTATCCATTCCAGACTCGTTGTCCAGCCAAAGCTATTGGAAAAAAGAATTCATAAGCAGCCGCAGTAAAGCAGTTGACACGACTTACGTCCATGACAGCCTTCAGACTGTCGACTTCGACGTCGCCCATCATATAGGCTTCACTGACTGTAGAAATGTCAATTGCTATTCAAGAGGTATGGCGTAGGATTGACTTACAACCCAGATCTTGAGAGCTGGAGTATTATTAGCATCAGGTCACATTAAAGAGCTGAAGGTGACGTACAAGAGAATACGCATCCAGAAGTCGGTGTTAACGACTTTGAGGTAGACATCGTTACAACCTTTTGAGCGAGTCCCGAAGTGATGAACTCCTTCAGAATCGGCGACAGTCAAGTGTCCGCGGGTGACCGCTTTCTCCATGACGGCAAGGACCGAGCTCCGCGCTAAGTAGATTGATTGTATGTCAGAGGAGACAAGAACGATGTATGATTGACTCACCATAACTTAAGATGATAGATTTTGGATTTGGAAGAACGATAGACAATGATGAAGGAGAACGATAGAAATTTGGAGTTGACGAGAATGTCAAAGCGGAAGAGGTCGCTGCATTCAACATTTTTGATAAGATGTATAAAAAAAAGGTAAGAAGTATATGATAGACTGCGTGAGGAAGGGGAAGATCGAAAGGTACAGCGCAGCCTGTGGAGGAAGGTAATGGGTCTTGGCCTCCTCCCTTTTATACGTTGAACCCACGGAGGACCTTGTCATAGTGTCGCTTGGAGGAAATCGTGGACTGAGACCGGCAAAAATAGAACACGATACATAGTTTGCATTGCACGCTCATAATGGTATTTTCGCGGGAACTTGGCAAGTCTGCGATCGAGATCTACTAGTAATTTTGACGGAGTAAAACTTGACGAGAATATATAGATCCGTTGCCGGATGGAACAGCACACTATTGACCCCGCGAAGGGTGATGAACAATGTGCACATGTCAAAGTGTGACAAGACTCTCGTAGACTTCCGTAAAACAATAAAGAAGACCCCCCCCCCCTGTTCTCAGATCACCGGAAGTTTGCGATTATAAAAAATTAACAAACTCTAGTAAGCCCAATACCAAAGGCTCAAAGGACGGTCTCATGCTCACTTATTGCAAGCGACACGTGGCTCCCACAGTTTTCAATTACCCACTCCAGACTTTTACTGCCGGGCCTGCTCAGTCAGAGTTCTCATTCCCTCATGAAAATTACCTATTCATCTCCCCACGCCGTTCCCAGCCTAATCGTGCCTGCACATTATTGACACCGTGTCGCATGGCCTTGTTGCAACAAGACACCACAACAGTATTACAACTGTCACTGCCATACAGGTCAGGGTCAGACGCCAGCTCAACAAAACTCTGAAAGGTTGACTGGTCACGTGTCACCGACTCAAACAAAAACAAAGAACTATGGACTTGGTTTCAGGTATTGAGCTTTCAAAAGTCTTACCCAATGACTTTTAATTTACCATTGAGACTAACCACCTCGAGATTGAAACATGGGTTTTTGAACAATACTTACTTGAACTCAACTCAATCATAACTCGTAGGCGTTGCCAGATCAAGTACTGATTCAATTGTCCGACCGCGAAAGGCACACGATCGAGTCGCAGTCTGTTAATCTTCTCCACCTTCTTGCGTTTCTCTACCTTATTGGTTTGTTGCATTGTAAACTTTGACGCACTGCCGCACGAGTCACACGAGCCGTCCTTCGCACGAGACGCCGATCCCAGATACTTTATTTTGATCAGGACTAAAATGTTTTTCAATGTTTGCTACGTCCCGTGAATTCTCTCGCAAACACGGTCCTTCTCCCCTCATTCAATCCATTCAATCCACGCCTTATCGGGTTTGGTCCTTATTTGCTCCACCACCCATTCAGTTCGCCGACTATAATCGGCCAGACTATTCCTGCCAGGGAGGCCATATGTCCCTATCAGAACATCTCAATGATGATTTTCCGCTATAATGACGTTTCGTTAGGAACCCGTGGCCGCGTCAGAGCGTTGTTAGTGCACAGGTTGTTGAGCTTAGTCGGTCAGTTATCGCTTTGTTCCGCGTCCGGTGAGCAGCAGCCGGCGCAGCTCACCGTGATCCGGCTTTCCCCCGGGGGCTCGGAAAGCCTAAACTCTGTTGCTAACCGAAGCTATGTCGACCAGGGTCATTCTTCGAACATAGTAAAGTTGAAACACTTTGGCCTAGCTTAGACCAACGTTCTATGTTTTGCTCTGCATCGAATGTCATGTCTTTCACCGACTTGCCGCACATGCGGGCCGCGGCAGGGCTACGGAGTACGATCATCGGCATTACAATGGATCATCGTGACCCTCCGGCCCCTCCCTGACCTCGATACCATCTCCTGCCTAAACTGATCATCCGTCAAGTTTTTCAGGTTCTATAAGAGATGATTCCTCGTGTTTTTAATATGCTTGGTCACTGCCCAGGTTGGCCCTGAACTGAGCATGGAGTGCATCGCCAAATGATCATCAAGAATTCTGGCGATGAGTTCTTGATGTATGTCTGTTCTTCTCAGAGTTTCCACTCACGTAGATTTGTCTAGTCTAGATTTTCAGTTTTCGGTCTTTACACTTGAAATATGCCCATGCAGAGTCGAGTCCTCATCGACATCGCCGCTACGTTTTCGTAATGCTATCCAAAGTTCGCTAAAGTCCGTCCGTGCATCCCGCAAAGAGCTCTATATGAATACGCATGGTTCTTATCCAGGCACAATTTATGTACCGGCTGATCCGGGCTGATGACGCGATAGTAGCTATTTCATGATAATCAGATTATCGTTCATAAATGCGTAATGCACAATGTGAATTTCTACTATAGAAACTCTGATTCAGGAAAAGAGAATTTCCACCTCAAGGGCTGCAATGGGGTGGGGATGGGTAAACGTAGTAGGTGATTGGACGGTACCCTGATGTAGGCCCACAGGTGATCTGCGTTATTCTGCCGACTCGGAATGTTGGTTTATCCGCAACCGCACTGACATTTTGAGTCTTACTAGTGAAGATGCCTCGACAATCTGAAGGTTCGGTAACCACTGAGAGTACGCACCCTCGAATCTCAGCATTAATCGTGAAGGCCTGACTCCCTGTCAAATTTTACGTGTGCAGTTGCCTTCTGCCTAAAGCACGCGCTTGGGGCGCCAACGAGTACAGACTTGACTTGCACACAGCGCTAAAGTCCCAGTGGATATGTTAAGTTCTTTGGTCAGTCGCAACACCATTGAACTTTCAGGAATCGACACGACCGTTACTGGAGACAAATCCAAGTGAATACCTCAAAATTCTTGCTTCTCTCAAGGTTATACCCATACGGGCAGGCCGAGTCATACTGGTAAGTCGATCGCCCGACTCCCCCGCCCCTTCTCTGGAAGGAAACAATGCGGGCCGTCTAAAGAATGAGGTTGCAGCTGCGGTTGCATACTGCGGAAATGAAACCTAGACCGTCATGCGGCACTCAATCGACATGGTCGATGCGTCTCAGTGAAAGAAGGGCATTACAAGCGGATTTTCGAGATTTTCGTGCGCGCGAGATGGAAAAAACATTACGCAAAACTAGTCGAGCTGTAGTAAAGCCTGTGAGCTACATCTTCAACGACCCAGTCCAGGCCTTGGATCAGATTAAGACCAGTAACTGCACTGCACGACCAGATCTTCCAGTTGTGAGATTTGATCCCAGGTAGATCCAGTGCCTGGACGAACTCATCAGCATCACTCGAAACCCTCTGAATGGCAAGGAAGCTGGCCTCGCTGATTTCAAGATCTGACATCGAGCCGTGTATATCTTGTTTGTTCGCGAAGACAAGCAGAGAAGCTCCAGATAACCGCTAGCACACAATTTGGTCAGTTGCTGTCAGCAACCAGCGCAAGGAACATATGTTACGTCTTCGAGAAGAAGGTTGTGTAACTCTTCTTTGCAGTCCCGCATTCGCATTCTGTCCCCTGAATCGACCACCCAAACAATGGCATCTGTTTGTTCGAAGTAGTTGCGCCAGTATGGTCGAAGAGTTCGTTGACCGCCTACATCCCCTGATAGCAAAGATATTTCCGTCACCAGAAAAGCATAAGGGGGGTCTGTTAACTAACAAATGTTGAGAGTGTATCTGTGACGCGTGGCATCACGCCGATCAAACAGAGAAGATTCCTCTCAGTCACAACAAAATCCAAGTTGAGTTACCAGGCTCACTTTCTGTGAATGAACGTCTTGATATTGAAGCCAAGCGTGGGGCTCACGCTGGATATGTCTTCCTCATTGATCTTCTTTAGGATGGTCGTCTTACCAGCATTATCCAGTCCTCTGGGCGGTCGTTGAGTGGGAAGGATAAACTCGGAGAGCTGCGGATGGCGTACAGGAAGAGAATTCTCATCTCCCGTTCTTTTTGTCTGCTTTTACGAATTATCGTGAGTAGGCCCATGGTGAAGGTGTAATACTTTGACTGGTCGTCGGAGTAAAGAGTCACGCTTCGTCAGATCCTCCGACTGGCTGGCAAATACGATCAATCAATACATAACCGTTTTGGGACTCTATAGCAGTATCAATCGCTTTTTTATTGAATTGGGGAACTTTCCCGAGCCCGTCGCAGCATCGCAGAGCAGATAATCGTAATGTACTATTGATTTGCATAGATACTCGGGTTATTTGTCCGGATTGATCGAAACCCCAAAATGTTCAACTACCAAGGTGATCTCGTTGGCATTCGCTGTCTTTGGTATTGCATAAGGTTGAGAGACGTGTCACTTAACCATATACTATAGTTTACAATAGACGTGCTGCGTGTCAGGAGGTACACTCACACAGAGTCACAGCCATGACTGATGGAGCTAGGGTCATCGCGAGTCGAGAATCTACAGAGGTAACAGTCAGCAACACTGAGAACTTCTGTAAGCACGGGCGCAATCCGCTCATTAGAAAAGGAGTCAACACAGACACAGTGCACTGCACCCACCTCCATAACATGCATGTCGGTCTTCGTGAGCATATGGAGCTCTGCAAAGGCCAAGGAACTCACACGAAACCTCATGAAATTCACACGAATTGCATACCATGCGGGAGGTACAACAACCGAGTAGCTGGAATACAACTTTATGCACCCGAAAAAATTAGGACACGTACCAAGTTGTTTGGAGACCGCACCGGGGCTCTGGAGACTGCACCGAACGTCTGGAGACTGGTTGTTTCACTCCCAAGGTCTCTGAAGAAGGATCATCGGAAAGATCGTCCGTAGATGACTTGCCGCGATGCAGAAGGCGTTATCTATGCGCCGGGAGCGGGAGCGTGACCTTGGAAATGGCGAGTCACGAAATAAATTATTACATAAATGACAACATGCAGCACGGTCTGCAATGTAACAGAAAAAACGAACAATTGAACTCACATGGAACATCATAGACATCGCAAACAACCTCGAGCATAGGTCGAGGCAAGTGTGAAGAGATGCAGCTCAGCAAATCAATTATTGGTTGAGTATTTCATTGCGGGCTGACCCTTGTTTTGGAAGTCTACCAGAAAGATGTAGTATGTATCAGCATTATTCTACGAAGGTCGATATCAATACTACTTACAAGGTCTCCTCTCGACAAGTGTGCCGTAGAAAGTCCTGGGGTCTTAGCGTCAAAGTCCATACATAATGGAATTAGCTCAGTGGACAATCAAGGAAGGCTTTCACTCCGTCAGATGCGACAATTACGTCACTGCTGCTTTCCAGCATCGACATCGAAGGTATTCGTTGCATTGCTCAGCGGGATCGTACGTTGCTGATCCTCATCGACCACTCCGCAACGCTAGTCTAAATCGACGAATCACGTCAACAATACCGGCAGTAGGCGAATATTATGTGAGTATCTCAGTTATGAATCGCTAAATCGCTGATTCAGGAATTCTGCATGGCATGTACGAGAGTCCACATGACCCATATTTGCATCGTGCGCGTAA